AATGTATGATTCTTCGTATGCTAAAACGAGATAAAAATACAAGCTTTAAATTAACCAAACTATTAGACAACACAATCTTGCAAAACGCTTCATCAATCATATCAAATCCTAAAAAAAAATTGTAAGTATTAGAACTCTCATCCTCACCATCATGATCTCGAATCTCAAAAGTTGTCCAATGAAAAACCCCGTTAACAAAAGCTAGTGAAAGAATCTCAAAACTCATATTTTTCAACTTCATGTGCAATATTCCTCCATGAACCCTAATTAAGCAAGTAAAGCTCTACCATTGGAATATCCTTCTCACAAGCATCCAACCCAATAAAATTGGCGAAATATAGAGTAATATGGCTATTGACAAAAACAGGAGAATTAGACAAATAACAACATAAGCGAAATTAGACAATAGTATCCTTAGACGGAAAATAGTTCAAGACATTAAAATATTAAAAAAAAAGTCGAACTACAAAATGCATGGAATGAAAAAAAAAAAAGGCAATAAATTTTCAAAACCATTCTATATATCACAAAATTGAGATTCAAAAATACCCGAGTTTTGACTATCTTTTTTCCGACCAAAAACATCCGAATCGGATTGTTGGTTATCGCAAATAACAAAATTACTTGGTTTGTTTATATTCAAGAAGGCAAGGACGGGAATATAGAGTAATATGGCTATTGACAAAAACAGGAGCGCTACATGGATTAAGAAAAATACCCGAGAGACGAAGGCTCGGTTTGGTACATAGCAACTCTTGTGGGTTCCGTCGGTTGCTTGACTCGGGATTCACGGTGCTAAATGGCAAAGCAATCAAATAAATTTATAGAAGACAAAAACGATTACATAGCACCGTAAAAGCGATCAAAGAGATTGTTGGTTATCGCAAATAACAAAATTACTTGGTTTGTTTATATTCAAGAAGGCAAGGACGGGAATATAGAGTAATATGGCTATTGACAAAAACAGGAGCGCTACATGGATTAAGAAAAATACCCGAGAGACGAAGGCTCGGTTTGGTACAAAGCAACTCTTGTGGGTTTTGTCGGTTGCTTGACTCGGGATTCACGGTGCTAAATGGCAAAGCGATCAAATAAATTTATAGAAGACAAAAACGATTACATAGCACCGTAAAAGCGAGTCAAAGAGATTGTTGGTTATCGCAAATAACAAAATTACTTGGTTTGTTTATATTCAAGAAGGCAAGGACGGGAATATAGAGTAATATGGCTATTGACAAAAACATGAGCGCTACATGGATTAAGAAAAATACCGAGAGACGAAGGCTCGGTTTGGTACATAGCAACTCTTGTGGGTTACGTCGGTTGCTTGACTCGGGATTCACGGTGCTAAATGGCAAAGCGATCAAATAAATTTATAGAAGACAAAAACGATTACATAGCACCGTAAAAGCGATCAAAGAGATTGTTGGTTATCGCAAATAACAAAATTACTTGGTTTGTTTATATTCAAGAAGGCAAGGACGGGAATATAGAGTAATATGGCTATTGACAAAAACATGAGCGCTACATGGATTAAGAAAAATACCCGAGAGACGAAGGCTCGGTTTGGTACATAGCAACTCTTGTGGGTTCCGTCGGTTGCTTGACTCGGGATTCACGGTGCTAAATGGCAAAGCGATCAAATAAATTTATAGAAGACAAAAACGATTACATAGCACCGTAAAAGCAATCAAAGAGATTGTTGGTTATCGCAAATAACAAAATTACTTGGTTTGTTTATATTCAAGAAGGCAAGGACGGGAATATAGAGTAATATGGCTATTGACAAAAACAGGAGCGCTACATGGATTAAGAAAAATACCCGAGAGACGAAGGCTCGGTTTGGTACAAAGCAACTCTTGTGGGTTTTGTCGGTTGCTTGACTCGGGATTCACGGTGCTAAATGGCAAAGCAGATCAAATAAATTTATAGAAGACAAAAACGATTACATAGCACCGTAAAAGCGATCAAAGAGATTGTTGGTTATCGCAAATAACAAAATTACTTGGTTTGTTTATATTCAAGAAGGCAAGGACGGGAATATAGAGTAATATGGCTATTGACAAAAACATGAGCGCTACATGGATTAAGAAAAATACCCGAGAGACGAAGGCTCGGTTTGGTACATAGCAACTCTTGTGGGTTCTGTCGGTTGCTTGACTCGGGATTCACGGTGCTAAATGGCAAAGCGATCAAATAAATTTATAGAAGACAAAAACGATTACATAGCACCGTAAAAGCGATCAAAGAGATTGTTGGTTATCGCAAATAACAAAATTACTTGGTTTGTTTATATTCAAGAAGGCAAGGACGGGAATATAGAGTAATATGGCTATTGACAAAAACAGGAGCGCTACATGGATTAAGAAAAATACCCGAGAGACGAAGGCTCGGTTTGGTACAAAGCAACTCTTGTGGGTTTTGTCGGTTGCTTGACTCGGGATTCACGGTGCTAAATGGCAAAGCGATCAAATAAATTTATAGAAGACAAAAACGATTACATAGCACCGTAAAAGCGATCGAAGAGATTGTTGGTTATCGCAAATAACAAAATTACTTGGTTTGTTTATATTCAAGAAGGCAAGGACAGGAATATAGAGTAATATGGCTATTGACAAAAACAGGAGCGCTACATGGATTAAGAAAAATACCCGAGAGACGAAGGCTCGGTTTGCTACAAAGCAACTCTTGTGGGTTTTGTCGGTTGCTTGACTCGGGATTCACGGTGCTAAATGGCAAAGCAATCAAATAAATTTATAGAAGACAAAAACGATTACATAGCACCGTAAAAGCGATCGAAGAGATTGTTGGTTATCGCAAATAACAAAATTACTTGGTTTGTTTATATTCAAGAAGGCAAGGACAGGAATATAGAGTAATATGGCTATTGACAAAAACAGGAGCGCTACATGGATTAAGAAAAATACCCGAGAGACGAAGGCTCGATTTGGTACAGAGCAACTCTTGTGGGTTCCGTCGGTTGCTTGACTCGGGATTCACGGTGCTAAATGGCAAAGCAGATCAAATAAATTTATAGAAGACAAAAACGATTACATAGCACCGTAAAAGAGATTTTTGTCAGATTTGTAACTAAGAAGCCCAGGGGCTTTGTTTCCTTTACAGAATTTATTTTCAAAGAGCTAATGTTTTAGTGCTGGAGAACCTTATTAGTGCTGGAGAACCTTACTCCTTATGTCAATAATTCCAGACACTTTATAATTCCACGAAATCTCGGTCCCTTTGTGATACATCCCTGCTCCAGTATGAAGACTAAAGTTTAATGGCATTAAATTCCAGGGGCTTAAAAGAAATTACTCTTCTTTTCACACACAGTTTTCTGACTTTAGCCCATTATAGGAAATACCAACGCAGAATATCTACGTACTTTGAAACAAAATCCAATTTCTTGGCTAGATGATGGACGAGTACAGCGCAGGAGATATCCATTTTTATAGTCACTAGTAATCCAGATTTGAACTTTCTAAAACTGCTTAAATTGATTTGATACTCATTCATTCACTTCATCACTTCCGATAGATGAGTTTTTTAACAAAACTGAGTTACACAATAAATGGATTTCCTTTACTTTTTAACCCATAATAACTTCTTAATCCCAACACAGAATATCATGGCATCTTGCAATCTTGATGTTTACATCACATTCATAATCGCAAAATAGGAGAGCACGTCAGCATGACACGCACTTTCGTATTTACAATGAAAAATTCAGAATTGTTCTTTCCATAATTACCTAAAAGAATTTAACACTCATTTCTGTTCTTTAGTTTCCATTTCTTGTCTTCTATTTTGATTTTTGGTTTCACCTCTAATGAAAAAAGAATCATTTCACGCACAAAACTATGTCCTTAAACCGTAAACCAGATTTTTAAAACCTAAAAGAGTAACTTGCAGAAGAGAACAAGTACATAACAAAAATGACTCTCATGTCTTAACCAGCACTAAATTGACACAAGACTTTAATACCATTGATTCCAGCACATACAGAAGACCACTCTTCACAAAACTCTTACAGCTTGATCACTGATCAAGCAGAAACGGAATTGTCTAGTACAGAACAAGAAAAGTCATCAGGAATGTCTGATTAGTAGTTCTTTCTTGCGACAGAGTCAATTTTGGATGATATAAATCTACATTAAAGCATGCTAATTTCAGATGCTACTAGTCCAAGAAACATCTTACAACCTAAACAAATCCTAAAAAGATTATGAAACCGCAAAAAGAAAATAACACTATAATGCATACAAACATCTTTGAGGCAAGAAATACCAACAGTAACTGAATTTCAGTATATAACAGTGAACTAAAATTTATATATGTGGCCCAAAGTCAAGAAACAATATACCCAGATAACAAAATAGGAAACTCAAAACAGAAAAAGAGCACTCTTCACAATCAAAAAGAAAACAAATTGTCTTAATAACCAACATTTATTTGTGATATGAACTTAATAACCATTGATTTCAAGTACCTATGGAAGAGCAGTCTTTACAAACAAAAAGAAAACACTTCCGTAAGATCACACAACAAGCAGAAAATGAATTGTCTTGTAAAGCACGAGAACAGTCGTCTGGAATGTCTGAGTAGTAGTTTTAACCTGTAACACTGAGTGAAGCACTAATCGTATAAATCTAAGTTAAGCATGAGAACATATTACATCCTAAACAAATCCTAATAAGATTCCTGAAACCATCACTCCATGAATTAGACATCCAGCAAAAAGGGAAGAAGCCAAAAATAGAAAATAACACTATAAAACCATAGAAAGTTATTAGAGACAAAAGATACCAACTACAAGCAATTGAATTTCAGTACATAAGACTGATCTATAATGTACATGTGTGGTGCAAATTATAGTAAATATAAATACAGAAACAGAACGGGAAACTGCAAAACCAATTCTCAAAAGCACTTGCCATATAGTTCCTCTGGTTTGCTTCTTATTGACAGAGATAGCTTCACATGAATCACTTCGATCATTTTTATGCAATCAAACCATTTGAATTTATTCCATAACTTGTTGCATTACTTTTGTCAAGTAACACTAGGCTCTCCAAATAGACACCAATGAAGGTATGGGATGGTTCTCCCCAAATTCTAAGATCCCTAACTTGCTGGCTTTCCAGGTCACCTGAAACTATCCAGCCACGCTTCATTTCCATTAAAAAGTCATCCTTCCTAATTCCCAACGCTCTGGGAATACCTTCCCCTTGTGCACCAATAGTCAACATCAATTTGGTCCATGAGTCCACCACACCATACTCCTTCATCACCCATATATGGAACTGAACAGAAGACTGGAAGCTAGCCTGACATACAGAAATGGATGATTCTTTATATACCAAAAGGGACAAACATGAGGGTGTCACATTAGCCAAACTATCAGGCAACGCAATCTCAAGAAAAATCTCATCCCTCATATCAAACCCCAAAACCACATTAGAAGACCCTTCGTGTTGGTCTGCCCGAAGAGCAATCCAATGAACAACTCCATTCAGAAAAGCCTGTGAAAAGCGTTGATCAGTGTCATACCTCAATGGTGTTCTCTGTGTAATACTCCTCCATGAACCCTCATTAAGAGAGTAAAGCTCCATTTCTGGAGCATTCTTGCTGAGAAACTTTGACTTTTGAAAATTGACTATCCTAACCAACTTGTAGTCATTAGCACGGGAATCATAGCCGAAACCAATAAAGGAGTATACAGGACCCAAGATTCTAGGTTTGACATTCACATATTTTTGTAACAATGGGTTCCAAAGAATGAAGGATATTGTAATCCTTTCGAAAATATTTGCTAGGCAAATCAGGCCGTTGCAAGAACCAATGATACGAAAATATGATTCATAGCTCTTGAATGGGAAATGAAGTTGCATGTGCTCATTGAAATCTTGATCATCAAAACGGAGAGAGTACTGCTCTTCTCTCTGCTTTGAACAGAGTCGAAGTAGGAAAAGAGATTGATGATCAGTTGATGAAATGGTACGCTGGAGATGCTTGGAAATAAAGTTGCGGCTCTTTATGAGGGAGTTCCAGGACTTGCACAAGCTTGTGCATTGCACCAGGGATTTTATGGGGAGTTTGTAGAGGATCTCTTGTATCAACTCTTCAGGCAAAAAATCAGACATTTTCCCTTTGATTTATAAATTCTTGGCAGCAGAGATAAACAGGAAAGCTCAAATGTTTAGCAGTCAATTGGGAAGGGTAACATTCATCAATGGCTACTGAAGAACCCTGTTAATGTCTAAATAAGCATAATAATAGCTTACTGACTTGAAGGGACAGCTACTGGCACCTTTCAAAAGTGTGCATTTTTAGCAAAGCAAAGTGAGACCAGTACCTAACCAGCAAAAAAGGTAGAATTAGCATTTTCAATGGTAAGATTAAGACTTTTGCGTCTAACTGAAAGCTTAAATGCTAATAACGAAGAGCAATCTTATGTCAATCCCACACAGCACACAAAAGGAAAATAAAACCTTTTCCTCTCCCATCGCATGGATGAAAGAGCAGTATTTAGCTTCAACGATTAGATCACAATATCTAGTAGACCCAAATGCATAAAATCAACGAGTAACAAGAGTAACAAGAAACCCCAAAACAAAGAAAACGATAACAGATTGAACTTGGAAAAATTTCAACAACATTCTACAGTACACAATCAAGTTTCAAACTTCACATCGTGTTATCTCAAGCCCACCAAAAAAATTATAAATTAGTATTACGAAATGCATGGTGATGATCAGGGATCAACTGAGAAAAGAATAAGAAAAGCACCTTAGCCAAACATAGTGGGTTGTGTCCTTCGTTAGAACTTGGAATCAGCTTATCCATTAAGCATAAAAACCAGCCGGCAACTTTGAAAACTATGACAGTCACTTTTCAATTCTGACCTGCCCTTTCAGGTATTATTATTATATTATAATTACTATATTATTATATATATATTATATTACAATTACAAAATAAACTAAAAGAAAACGGTAAAACATTGTAACGGCAGCAACTGGTCATTCTCTTTGTTTTTTTTTTTCCTTCCTTCTTACGCCACAGGCCCACAGCTTCCTTTTTGTTTTAGTAAACTTTATTTTCGTTTTAATAATTGTTTAAAAAAAAATTTTATCATTAAAATTTTATTATATTTGATTTTTTTTCTTCTCTTCCGCCAAAAGTTCTCTTTTGCTTTTAGTAAATTTTACTTTCATATTAATCCTTATTTTATAACTTTTTTAAATGAATAAAATTTTATTATATTTGATTTTTGTTCCTATAATAAATATTTTTTTATAATTTTTAACTTATTTCATTTTAGATCCTAAAAATTTAAAATAAAAATTTTAGTCTCCTGATTCATGCACTATATATGCTTTTTCTTTTCTTTTTTTTTCCTTTGTTTTTTTTTTTTTTTGTAATTTTTCTATCAATTTATGCTTTTTATTTTATTTCATTGAATGCTAAAATTTTGAAAAATCAATTTTTTCTTTGCTTTTTTAATCAATTTATGTTCTTTTTTTTAATTGAGTGTTAAAGTTTTGAAAAATCAATCATGACTTTTTTCCATACAAATTGATGATTATATAATATATTTATTTATATTTTGAAATTGACATATACTTCAGTTTATATATCTATTTTTAAGCTGTGCTACATGCCTTTTCTTTTTACTTTTTTTTTTTTTGGTTTTTTTCTTTGATTCGTTTTAATCAATTTATGTTCTTTTGTTTTATTTAATTAGGTATTAAAATTTTTAAAAACCAATCGTTACTCTTTTTTCTCACACAAACTAACAATTATATAAAATATATAGATCAAATGTATGTATTTTTTTTAAAAAAAGAATCTTCTCATCAATATTAAATAAGAATAAAATTTATTTTTTCATTGATTTATTTTTATGCAAGTCTATACATTAATTGTAACTTTATTTTTTGGATATATTCTTATAAAACAATATATTTTTAAAGTATTTATTTTTAAATTCTTAATTAATTATAAGAAATACTAAAATGAAATGAAAAAGTGTTTTTCATTCATTATTGCCTCCCCAACCCCCCCCACCCCTGCCTTCTCGGTTGCTTAGCCAAGCTTTAAAGGAATTTTTTTATTTGGGTCCCTGTTGTGTAATATTTTTTTATTTTGGTAATAAAAAATTTATTATATTTTATTTTTGTCCAAATAATAAAAAATAAAATTTTATTATATTTAATTTTTGTCCTTATAATAAATATTTTTTCTTGGCTTTTAGTAAAAATTTATGTTCTTTTTTTGTTCTATTTTGAGATATGATTTTATTTTAGTCATTAAAGCTTTATCATGTTTGATCTTTTTTCTTACTATACTAAAACTAAATAAAGTTTACAATCCTAAATTTTTTTGTACTCGTTAACTCCTTCTTTTTTTTTTTTTACCATCACAATGTACTATCACTCCTTTTTTTTTTTAACCCTCACAACTTATTATTCACTCTTTGGTGTTTTTTTTTTCTTTTGTAATTTTCAAATTATTTCATTTTGATCCTTAAAATTTTAAAATAAAAACTATAATCCCTAGCCGATGCACTACATGCCTTTTCTTTTCTTTTCTTTTCTTTTTTTTGGCTTTTTTCTTTTTTTCATCAATTTATGTTCTTTTTTATTTAATTGGGCGTTAGAATTTTTAAAAATCAATCGTTACTTTTTTTTACATAAACTGACGATTATTTATTGTATATAGATCAACTTGTATGTACTTTAAAAAAATTAATCTTCTCATCAAGATTAAATAAGAATAAAATTTTATTTTTTCATTGGTTAATTTTTATGCAAGTCTATACATTAATTGTGACTTTATTTTTTAGATATGTTCTTATAAAATAATATATTTTTAAAGTATTTTTTAATTCTTAATTAATATTTGAGTTTTATATTATATATTATAAGTTTTTATTTAGAAATCCCTAAATAAAGAAAAATAAATAATTTTTTCAAGCAGAAATTTTATGAAAAACACAAAAATAGTGATAATTAAATAAAAAAATTAATGAAAAAATTATAAAATTTTGAAATCATTTTGTTATATCTACCCCGTAGCGTTGCACGATAATTTCAAAAATTAATCTTCTCATCAACATTAAATAAGAATTTTTTTTCATTTGTTAGTTTTTATAAAAGTCTATCTATTAATTATCGCTTTTTTTTTTGGAATACAATATTATGAAAAATATATTTTTAAAATTTTTTAAATTCTTGATTAATATTTTAGTTAAAATCAATCCATAAAGAAGAATGATTTTTGTTTTTTTGAGGAAAAAATTTATAAAAAACATCAAAAAAAATAATTAAATAAAAAATTATATTAAAATGTTTTTAAATCTTAAAATGATTTTATTCTACCGGACCCACAACGTAGCGCGGACAACCAGCTAGTTCATACAAAATGAAAAGAAAAAAGAGAAGATACCATGTCGACTTGCTTTCAACTCTAATCTGCCTTGTATAATGGTCAACTACTATGTCTCTCTTCTAGTACTAAGCTACCTTTTCGCCTTAAGAATGAGGCCTAGCCTACTTAGGTTAGCAAGTGTTTTATTATATATTTTATTGTTTCATGTTCAAATTTAAGAGAAGGATGGAAAAGGTTAACTTCTTGTGAAAAATACTGCACAAAAAAATGGACAAAAAGGATCCAACTGGTAGACTAAACCCTAATCTGTTAAGTTCCATTTCTTTATAAGATAAATGTGTCAAACTTTCTCAAAATTTTGATCATTTAAAAATTAGTTTTAAAATTTTGAAGTTTTTTAACTTTATTTTTTAAGATTTAGTTCATCCTATAAATTCTAACTATTATTTTTTTCCTTTAAAAAAAAAATTAATTATCAATATTTTGAATTGGCTTTTTGCACACATATTAGATAAAATCCAATCCAATTTAAAAAAAAAAATAGAATGCTATACGTGTGTGTGTGTGTGTGTCCGTGTGTCCGTGTGTCGTGTGTGTGTGTGTTTGTGTGTCCGTGTTTAATCTCAAATGATCTCAATTTTTTTTTTTTTTTGGAGAGTCATATATAAATTTTACTGAGTGATTTCTAGCATTGGATTGTTTATGTAACCATTACTTTTACAACTTATCAACGTAATTAAAATTAAAATCAATCCTATTTTACAAAAATTTAACAACTTCTCATTAAAAGGACTTAATTTTTTTCATTAATAAAATCATATGTTCTCTCTATCTTTTGTATTGTCATCTCAAATCAGCAACTTTTTTTTTTCATCAAAATAGAATCTAACTCATTCTTCAACCTTCTAACCTTCATAAGTAATTTATTGTTTTTCAACGACATTACATTTTTTTCTCTATAAATTTCTCTTCATCTATTTATCATCCCAAAACAATCATCCTAGATCCGTCTTCTATAAAATCATTCTTCCACTCTCAATAACCACAATCAAAATTTTTATTACCATTATGGGCAAACCATATAATACACGAATAGAACCTAAATTTTGGATATTTATCACTCATTACATCCACGTTGCGGTCTTCAAGCAACAATGATACATCATAATAGGCTATCCATAATTCAATTCAGTGGTATGTAGTGAGGCTATACAAATAAAACACAATCTATCTTTCTCAAATTCATTGATGACAATAAAGGATTGAGAATTCATTCTATCATCAAATTTTCTACACGTTGACAACGAAAAAGATGAACTCATCTAATTTAGGATTTTCACAAAATGGCAAAATCAAATTTGAGGGTTTTAGGATTAAAACGAATTGTGGGTTTTTGAGGAATATAAGTGATGACAAGAAGAAGAATGTTAGTTGTAATGGGTTAGAATTTTATTTTTTTTATTATTTTTTTTTAAGGAGATGTTCAAACAAAGACAATTAAAGAAGATTGAGATAAAAAGAGATAGCAGGGATAAGAGAAAATAGGTTTTTTGTTTGGTTTTTCCAACTCTCTATCGACTAAAAATAAGAAGATAATTTACTTTGTTTTTATGTCTGAATAATTTTTTTTTCTTTTTTTTTTTAATACAATTTTTAGGTTTTGGGAGGTTTGGGTTTTTTTCCACATGTATAATTATTGTTGACTCTGGCATGCCATGTGGCTTTTTTTTTCATCTTTCAATTCCAAATG